AAAATCTATTAATTAAAAAAATTAAAAAACTATTGGAGGTCGTTTTTGACATCAGAAAGCAGCTTTAAATAACTTTACCGAAGAAAAATCCGTGCACTACAACTTAGGAACCATGAAATAAATTTGATAAAAAAACTCCCATTAAAAAACAATTAAGCCTTAATCGAGCCTTATCAAAGGCTCATTAAAATCGCGATAAAATTTTTTTGCACGGGTAAAAATTTTTGAAAAAATTTGGAGACTTAAAAAACATTCCAAAAATTCAAAAAAATGAAAAAATTTTTTGGGGGCCAAAAGGACCGAGTTTTATGTAAGGCTATGTAACATGCCCGAGTTAACTTGGGCGAAGAACTAAATAGGTTAATTAAACACTAACAGAAGAATATGTCGGAAGTATTCGTTTTTCCTCTTGACACTCCATCTTCTTTAGCTCACAAATCTGCAAAATACAAGGCACAGTCACAAGCACAACATTGTCATTCCACATGACAAATGATAAACGAACTCTCAACACTACAGTGTTGCCATGCCAAAAACAAACACTATGAACTTATGCATTGAACAAATATTTGTGTTATGATACTCCTTCTATCACTTTTTTCTAATGACTTGCAATCTAATGACTAAATCTGCTATAAATTGCAAGTCATTAGATTCTTCATTTGAATGATTTATTTGAGCCAAAAAAATATCTGATAATCTCTCTTATATGCTATAAAATTATGGTTATTTTAATCTATAAATTTTAATCCGTTGAAAAAAAAAGATATATTTGTAATATAAAAGAAATTTCAATGAATGATTTATAATATGCATTCATCAGGGGGTATATACCCTGATGGACACATTGAAATAATATAATATAACGTACCTTGAACTTGTTACCGGTGTGAGTGACACAAAGGATTAAGTACATCACTAACGTTTTCGAACAGTTTAAAGTTCTTCCTCAGGTGATACACAGAGAATGTTTGTGATGTATTTTATCCTTTGTCACTCACACCAGTAACAGGTTCAAGGTATGTTGATAACTTCACCCCAATGTTGTTGGATGTAAATGTTTAATAATATAATAAAAAAACTTTAATCCTAATTTAATTTATTTTAATATTCAAAAAATGTTTTAAAGTATTAAAATTAGAAATATATATGTTGTCTCTGGGGAGAAATACAAAATGAGCTTCCAAGTTAATGTGTTAAAATATCTGATTTTTGGCTTACTTGAAACATTTTGATAACATGATGTGTGAAATAAAAATTACTGATTCAAATTCCTTTTTCAATATGGTTCTTTCTCTAGTTATTTATAAACTAAATTTTTTAATCATTATATAAGTAATATAATATAGTTAGTGATATAGCTATTTACAATACCAAATTTGAGTAATCATTAAGAAAATTTATTAATATATAATTCTATATAAATTACTTTATAATTAGATAAAGTCTCCAATATTTATTATCACACTTGAATTTATTTGATAATTAAAACTGGCACAATTTTTATTACAGGGCATATATGCTGAGCTTGATGTAGTATAAGGAAGTATGACAGTAACGGCAACAAATAAAACATGGGATCCTTACATTATTATCAAAGCAAGAGATATGATCAAATTGTTGGCAAGAAGTGTACCATATGAACAGGTTTCAAATTTTTAATTTTATAATTCACAATTAAATTGATTTTCTGAAGTTTTGTTCATCATAAATAAGTTAATGAAGTAATATATGAAATATAACAAGAATGCATCTGTTCATGTGTAAATACATTAATAAATTAATTAGTATAAACTATTTAGATCTCACATGTCAGTTCAATGATAAAATATGAACAAGATGATATAAAGACTGGTTTATAAATAAACTAATAGGCTGGAATGCCCTGGTGGGTGTTCTAGCAGCAGCAGTGTCTTTCCGTGGTATAAATAATAAATTCATATCAATAATAAAATCCTATTACAAATAAAAATATATATAGATACTTATAAATACTATAATAATACTTGATATATATAGATACTTGCAACATGGCAGCTGGTGGTTTTTTTTCTATTTTGTTTTGTTTATCAAGAACTGTCTTAATCTTACCCATTTTTGGTTATTCATCATCATATATATATATTATATATATTATTATTAAACAAATATTATAACTGAATATATATATATTCGTTATTCGTTATAATATTTGTTTAATAATAAATTCCTATTACAAATAAAAATTATAATATACTGAATTTATTGTTAATTTAAATAATAGCTAGGGATGCCCCTAATGGCCGTTCTAGGCATTCCATTATAGATTACAGATATACAAACAGTGCAATCAATGGCTTATATTATAGCTATAAATAAATAGCTAATGTATCTAGGGTTATCTTAAGAGAACATGAACAGATTGAAAAACTACATAATGCATGGTGCTATTAGATGACATCTATATACATTGTATAGTTAATTCTGTTGCAGTATCAACAAATTTCATTGTTTTCATTTTGTCTGCTCTTAATGAAATTGATTTTGTTTAATTTGTATATCTTTATCTATATTTGCCTAGACATCAGTTAAAAATGTTCTTAATCGTTTCTAAAACGTGTTACAAAGCATGCTCAATGTGGCATCCACCATTTTCTGAAAGCAAGTTAAATCGCATTACTGTGTTCTCAACAGTAGCTCTTAGCATATCAGGAGGAATGTTACAAACATGTTGGTGTATCACATTTTTCACTTCTGCCAAATTGTTCATTTTCATTTTCAACTGATGTCTTTCATGTCTTTTTTTTTTTTTTTTTTTTAACAATTTTCACGTTTCTTTATGCAGCTAGAGTGTAGCAAAATGATGTCACTAGCAGTGTTGGTCAATAAGAACCAGTTACAGTGTGTTCGCTGTAAAACACTTCTCAAGCGCTGCATAAAGAAACACAGGGAATATTGCATACAGCACCAAAACAAAATTAGAAAATAAAAAAGGGAATGTGTAAGATGAAACTATAGGTTCAGCCATTCTAAACCATAATGTTACCATTTGTATTTACAGTTGCACTATTTAATTATTTCCTCTTACTGAAAAGATGTTTAAAATTTTATTATCTACTTTAAAACACAGTGGCACACAAAAAGTAGCCCAGTCCAGTTTGAATCTCTTGGCACTAGTACATTGTATAGAATGAGTAAATATTAGTTGAGTGAAATTTATTGTTGAACATTCCTCTGATTTGACAATATGCAACTACTTTCTTTGGAAGCACTTGAAGAAAAAATTATATGAAACAAATCCTACACAATACAGGAACTGAGGGACAAAATTAGCCACACAATTGTCATCACTAATTGTCACTATGTTACACCAAGTGCTTCTAAATGTGATTTGACATATGCAGCTGTGTATAAGATAAGACAGGTAATTATTTTCAACATCATCTATGACTGTGATACCGTCGGTTAGCTTCTGTGTTTATTACTGTATTGTTCTGTTTCTGCTAAGCTCAGACTGTGGCTACTTTTTTGTGGACCACCCTGTGTTGGTTGATGTTAATATAAATTTAAAAAATAATTCAGGGTTTAAGCTTTAGGTTAAACAGTCTACAAGAAAAACATCCATTTCTCTAAGTAATTTTTGTCATTTTGTATATCTTGTAAAAATCATTTGCAAACATAAAAATTTCTGAACTTTTATGTTTGCAAATAAAAATTTAAAAATTTCTTTTTATTTCTTCATATTAATTAGATTTTCTATTTAAAAAATTTTAGGCAATCAAGGTTCTTCAAGATGACATTGGTTGTGATATTATAAAAATTGGAACACTTGTGAGGAAACGAGAACGCTTTGTTAAACGACGCCAAAGACTTATTGGTCATAATGGAGCTACTTTGAAAGTATATACATTTCATATAAAATCTTTTTCAATTGAACTATTTACAAAGATGGTTTTTTAAACATATGAAATTTTTAGGCTATTGAACTTCTGACAAACTGCTATGTTTTAGTTCAAGGCAATACTGTTTCAGCCTTAGGACCTTATAAAGGCCTCCAACAGGTATGATGTTTTATTGTTTTAGTCTCTAGTTATTTTTCTGTTTGTATTTATATGTTTTATGAGATAACATTATTATAATTAAAGTTTTATATGACTGCTTATGAAAATTTTTTAATGATTCTTAATTAGATGCAGTCATAAACCATTTTGCCTGAAGTAGGTCAATCCATCAATTTAATGGGACAAACAAAATTACTTTGACAAACTTTTGACATAACATGAAAATTTATACACAATGCAATTTTATTATTATGAATTTCAAAATAACAAACTTTACAGAATAACATACATTTAGATTTTTTTTCCAACCCAATCTCCATAGGAACCCATAACAAAATTTTTATGTTAAACATATTTATAATGAACTTTTAGTTTATTGCTTCTTTTCTGTCACTTTTGCAATAATGCAGTTCCTTCAGTTTTCATTTCACTATAACAATTTTGTCACAACTTCTTTCCTTCTTTGCAATTGTATTCCATTTGGTAAACAGTTGTATCCAAAGGAATGGTGCAAGCTTGAAAGTAACTAACAAATTTCAGGTGTACTAAACTCAACAAGAGCCACAAGCGTATGGATGACATTTATCATGCTTCTCTTTAATTTTGATATTTACCTTAAGTTAATCTTCACTTAAGTCACAAGAGTAAAATTGCACCAAGAAACATTCTGGATAGGGAAATGTCATAAGACTCTTTCTGGTCAGTCCTCTAATAAAGGAAACCAAAAGCATATAAAGAATAAATTCAGAAATGTGAATTAGATTGATGACTTCATCAGAACTAAACTACTGTATTTTACAGCATATAGGATGTGCCCTATTTCAGCACAGAATATTTACTGTATTTTTGTGGATTGACCAGCATGCCAGAAACTCTGAGGTTACTAGCATGCCAGTTAAACTGCAACTAAAAAATAAAATTAATCAGACTAACAAAACTAGTTGTTAAATAAATGTTAATGAATACATTCTTCCGAATCCAATAAAACAATAATATAATTTGACTGACTTAAAATTAGGAAGAAATTTTTTTTTTACAGGACAATAAAACAGTTAGTGGCTTATTGACATTAGTAGTGGGCTGCATTGACCATTTACCCTGACCTTAAAAATAACACCTTCCTCTCAAATTTCACACAAAGCAGATGTTAATGGATGTAAGTTGAGATAATTAACAGGGAGTTTCTGAAATTTGATATGTTTATTTTTGCATTTTTGAATCAAATTACTGTAAAATAAACAAAAAAAGCACTTTTGGCATTCCATGAGTATTTTACATTGTTAGAAAGAAGTCAAAATGCAGAAATTAAATGTATATTGTAGTTTTTGATATAATGTTGACAGTTTCACATTTTTGGAATGGAAACTTGTTCATTTTTACGCACTCTTTAGAGAGGATGTATAACCTCACTTAAATCAACATGAGATGGCGCCTAACGCCTACCTCTAATGCCAAATTACTTTATTCTAATCATTTAATTACAGCCCGATATTTAGGCAATTATTTGTTAATTTATTATATACTATTCGGGCTTTGAGTTGTTGTTATTTATTCACTAATAATTTTATATTTATTCATAAATTATGAAACAAAAAATAATCATTTCTAATAAATATAGAACATATNTTTAATTTTTAAATGGTAAAGTGACTTTTGGCCCACCCTGTATTAGCACTCCTACTCTGGAAAGTGTTAAGGACTAAGTTTCAGTCTCATTTATGGCTAATTATCATACCTCATTGATTAATTCTCAGCAGCATCTGCCTATTTTTGAAAGAAATTTTGTGGTAACAATCTATTTTAAACAGGTAGATTGTTACTACATTGCCAATTGTTTTGTTATTACATTGCACTCGAAAGAATGTGCAGAAGTAATTGTGACACATTAATTAATTTATCAATTAATAGTGGAAGAAAGAGTACTATTACAACTCTGAATGAGACAGTTGGGACTTTGAATATCAGAGCTGTAGACCATACCCATAGGAACAAAAAGTAAAAGAAACCATACCTCTACATGTGACCTTTCACAAGATACAATCCCCTGAAATCGGCTTACTTCCAAGTCACACACAATTGGGAGTTGCATTGCTCCGCTGAGACTATCACATTTAACTGTTTATCCTGTGACCATGATGTCAATTGGGCTTTGACTAGCCCAATTGACTATTTGTGGAGTACTTGATGTTATACAGTTTTAGGGGTGTGAGGCTTGCCTCACATAGGCGCTGAGTTGTAAACAACAGAAAACACCAATGATCCCACTCTTGATCACCATGACAATGCTCTGCATGTAGCCATGCAGAGCATTGTCATGGCGATCAAGAGTGAGGCCTGATCAACTTGGAGTATGGAGAATAAACAGGATGTGGTTTACGGTAAAAACTGATCTTTGGAGGCAAATATCTTGCCAAGGGTCGCATGTATAGGTATGGTTTCATTAATTGTTTGTACAGGGGGTATAACTCTAGGGTTGGCAGATCTCACATTTACAGTTTACATCTTACTGAAAAATGTGACAACCAGGAATATTTGTCATTGCACCTATTTGCTTAGAATGACATCAGTATAGAGCAGTGTTTCTCAACCTCTAATGAATCGTTGTCTCCTTCAATAAAACCGTTGCATAGTATCGCCCCCTTCACTTCAAAATTTCAATGCTGAGGGTCAAGGCTAATGCCAAATTCATACAGCATTGAATAGACTAATGACTAGTATAATGTTATTTGTTTAATTATTGTTCGATATAATGAATAAAATATCTAATTATTCTTAATATAATGTTTTACTATATCGCCCAGAAAATTGTTTTTGCTCCCCAAAATATAAATTGTTAAATAATCTCTTACAAACACACTGTAAAATAAACAACTTACTTCTGCTGTAAACTTTTACGACACTTGAGAAGCCAAAAGCGATCCTTCTATCTACAGAGCATGCGCAAGTTTAATACGATGATTGCACGAGTTTCCTTAGAACATTACGTTCAGATTTTTGAATAAAATTGATTCTACTTGATTTATTCACCTGAAGAAGAACTAAGTTTGAAAATGTTTGTGAAAATATTTGGAAATAAGCACTGTTTTGGTTTACAGCAGAAGTAAGTCATATAAATTGTTTCAAATTATTCCCTCAACATGGAAAAACGTCCACATGGGGCGATATCGCCTCCATTGAGAAACACTGGTATATAGTATCTAAGTCAGTATGTAATCCAATTCTACATTAACAAAGATAACAAAACCACATCTTGAATCAGTTAAAGAACTTAGACAGAAATAGTATAATCAAAATTACCACAATAAACTAAGTTATCATAGTAGAAAACTAGCACAGTACATTATTTAGATGAAATTGTCCAAGGTTTGGTTTGACCTCTCAGTTGGACAGCAAAAAAGACCCATGATGTTTGGTGAATGGTCTCATAAAATAAAGGAAACAAGAGATACAAACAAAATACTTTTACTGGCATTCAAAGTAATCGCCATTAGCGACAACACACATTTGACATCGGTTGTACAGCTGCTGGAAGCTGTGAGCAAATGCTTCTTTCAGTATCAAATGAAGCACCGTTGTCACACGTTGTTGGATCTGCGCAATGTCAGAAAAGCATAGGCCTTTCAGGACTCCTTTGAGGTGTGGAAACAAGAAGAAATCTGCAGGTGCCAGATCTGGAGAATATGGAGTATGTTGAAGAGCTGTCTTCTGGTGTGTAGCGAGGAAGTGCTGTACGTGGCTTGCAGTGTGCAGACGGGCGTTGTCATGGAGCAGAGTCCACTATCCACTCTGGTATAACTGTGGCCAAAGTCACCAGATGCGTTGATGGTTGTATCATTGGGTAAAAATTCATGATGGATCAAGCCCTTACTGTCGAAATAGGCAATCAACACCGTCTTAATCCTGGATTTGGTGAGATGACATATTTTGGGAGGGGGGATGACCATGAACACCATTCCATGGACTGTTGCTTGGTCTCCAGATCGTACTGGTAGCACAACAACTCATCCCCTGTAATGATTGTTTCCAAGAACTGCGGATTCCAGTCACATGCGTCGATGAAATCTCCAGAGGTTTCTATTCAGTGTTACTTTTCCTTGTCTGACAGCATGTGCGGTACAAACCGAGCACAAATGTTACGCTTTATCAAATGTTCATGAACAATGGTGCTCACCACTTTCCTTGCTTATCTTCAAATCTTCTTCTATCATTCTCAAAGAGAGGTGCCAATCATCTGCAAGCATCCTTCGCACTCGTTCAATGTTGTCTGGAGTTGTGGTTGTTGACGGTCAACCAGAATGCGGCTCATCGTCGACATCTTTCATTCTGTCTTTGAAGCATTTAAACCATTCAAAAACACACTTTTTACTCACTGCTTCCATACCATACACTTTCACCAACATTTCATGTGTCTCCATTGCCATTTTGCCTAATTCAAAGCAAAACTTGATGTTTGTGTGTTGTTCCATTTTGCAGTGACACTCTTTCTCACACTGACTGCGTTGCATTGTTTGTTACGTGTACTTCCGTTTAACTGTCGTGATTTTGATGCTAGGGGGCACTAGTTGGCAAGTCTCTCACTACATCTGCATAAGTGCAACATTCTAACCAGCACAGTTATTCAACTATGGGACCATTCACCAAACTTTTCAGATGCACCTTGTAGTTATATTGATCACTTGAGAATATTAAATGAATGGAAGAGAGAGTGCATAGTGCCCAAGCTTTTTTTACTTTAAGAATTTCATTTAACCGGTGAGGCTATTTATGTGTATTGTATCGGTTTTGTATCGGTTTTAAATCAGTTACATAGCCAATTACTGTATGCAGTTCTTCTTAGCAACTTACATTTAAAGCAGGCTGCTAGAATGTAATGTGGACAGGATGCTAATCAAAAGAAACTCTGATTTTTTTTATTATGTGAATATAAAAACACTGTTAACATTTATAATAGTAACTCAACTAGATTAAGGACAACTTATGTAATTTATTTTTCAATATTTTCATACAACTTTAAACTGTAAATAAATAATAAAATAAATATTTTTATTTTTAATTAATAGAAACTAAAAAAAATGGAAAAAGGCTGTATAAAAACTAAAATTAAAAAAATTGAAATTTTATATTTTAAAAAATACCTGACAACAATTAGTTAATGATTAATCATCTTGTTAAACAATTATACAATTCTAATTAATTATTCAGTGTTAATTAACTAACTTGATAGTTGGTCCATTCTTAATATGATTTATATAATTGTAATTCAAATGAAGTTATAAACTTTACTCAAATAGCTCTAGCTGAATTCCAGAAATGCATTTATGGTGATTTATAGAAATAAAGATAGAAGCTAAAAAAAAAAAAAAAAAGGCAAGCATTAGAATAGATTAATGTTCTATATACAAACAAATATTATTTTAATTTTTAATAAATATGTTATTTAATTGTATATATTTTGTAAGCACAAGAACATGTATTCTAAAATTTGTTTATCATATTAGTTTGATTTTTGGAACCTGAAGATGGCTGTTTACAAGGCCAAAAAATTACTTCTAATATAAAGTTTTAACTGATTTAAGGTTATCTTTTGTAATTTACTGAATATGTTATAACTTAAACCATTATACTTGCAAGAATATTTATGGATATCTATCTCAGCAAACATAACTTCTATTTTAATAAATAAAAAGTTACTTTGTTTATTATGTTTATATAATGCTACTTTCATTATTTATCTGATGGTATGATTATAGTATTATAAAATATATGCAAACTAAAATCTTCTAGTTTATTCATTGTTTAAAATCAAAGGTTTTGATAATTAAATCTCAAAATTATTTGAAAAAAGTTTTTCTTTAACATAAAATTACTTTTTTACAGATGATGCATGGAAAATGAATATACCATCATTTTCTAAAGATGATAATCCAACTGGTCTTTTGTGTGAGAGTTCTTTTGCTACATTATTTCCCAAATACAGAGAAAAATATCTTAGAGAATGTTGGCCTTTGGTAAAACATACTTTATCTGATCATGTAAGCATTTTCATATTTTGTTGAATAGCATATATATTTAAATTTATTTGCTTGTTTGTAAGATTTAAATTTTTAAACCAATCTAAAACAGATAAGTTAATTGTATATCTTATTAATTTGAATGAACTAACTTGATTAACCATTAGATAACTAAATGGAATTCTTTGTTCGAACTTTATAGTTTTATATGCAAAATAATATATAGTACATTTCATAAATCTTGGCCACATTGCTGTGATCTGCAGTGGCAAAGATGAGTTTGTATTAGTATGTGAAAAGTACATTACCAATTATATGAATTCAGCAGAATCTTAAGCACATTGCAGGTTTTTGGCAAATGCTCTCATTAAACACTCCAAAGCCCCATTCAGATAATGAAAGCTCCTTGCCAGGATTAATGAAATGTATATATTATTGGATTTATTAATTAGAAGAATACAAAGTAACTAGCAGTAGCTCATCTAACATATGAAGGGACAATTTTAGTCATGATATAGAAATTGAATTAGCAGTTGGTTTTAAATAGTCACTGATTATATGACAGATATTCATGACTGGCTCCTGTTTCCTGGCATGGAAGATCATTTCCATACTGGGGTTTATACTCTGAATGGAGTAATGTAAGGCTAACATTGATGTCTTTAAGGTGACTGGTCAGTTTCCAGTTGGCACAGATGTGCTTCTGACCATAACTTCAGCCTTGATAATGTTCTGTTTATAAGAGAATGTATGACTCATGATACAAGCAGGCATTAATGCAGAGTAAAAATACTAGGGCATATATTCTCTCTGACATTTTTCAGAGAATGTATACTAATTGTTTAATATTCCACAAATGCTTTTATATAATCAAACTTTTAAAAATATATATATGATTAGTTTTTTTAAATTGGCAATTAGTCCATATGGAGAAATGAACATTTTTGTAGAATATAATGATAGCAATATAAGTATTGGATTGATGCAGAAGTTTGTAACATTTTTTGCTGCAGCAAAAGTTTTTATTTGATACTCATTTGAGATGAACTGAAGACTGAAACTAATCAGTAATATATTCTCCTACATTATCTGTGACTGTCTGCCAATACTGGGGGCAGTTCTTTGATTCAATGCATGAAAAAATCTGCTGGTTTGGAGTTAAAGACATCATCAAGTTTGAAAAGCATTTTCTTTATTAAAGATGTTTCTTTGAAGATTGTTGGATAGAGTGCAAAAAGAGGTGGAAATCTGAGGGTGCAAGACGAGGAGAATAACGGGATGTGGAATAACCACCCAACCAAACTTCTGGATAGCTGCTTTAGCCATGTTAGTGGAGTCTGGGTGTGTATTATCTTTATGCAGTCTTCCTGGTCATTTTTCTTGAATTTCAGCCACAAAACATCCAAGTTGTTGGCAATAAATGTAAGCAGTGATGGTCACATTCCTGGGAAGCAGTTCATAGTACATGTCCCACCAGCCTTCTGTGTCCCACCAGATACAACACTATCTTCTAAAGATGAGCACTAGCATTTGTATTGGAAGTTGCTTTTTGTTAGGGCTTAACCATTCCTTTCTTCTTATTGATGTTAGGCATAAAAGCACCGTTTCCCAATTCTGGACCAGGAATGATTGATGTTGTTCACAAGCTAACTGATGATAAGCAAGCAAAGAATGATGGCCACTTGCTGATATCTGTTGTTTTCACTTAAAGTGTGTGGTATCCATACACCCAAGTTTTGAACTTTGCCCATGGAATGCGAATGTTGCCTGATGGTTGACTGGTTTCAGTTGATCTCATTTGCCAATTTTCATGTTGACTGACATGGATCATTGTTGATTAAAACATTGAAATGATCTTCATCAAAGTCTGATGGTCTTCCTGAATGTGGAGAATCAATCATGTGAAAGTGCCCCCTCTTTGAAACAATAAATCCATTTTCTTGCTGTACTTTTCCCAATGGCATTCTTCCCTTGGTTTCCCTTTGTACCAAGTTTTTCAAACAACCTCTGCTGTTTTTACTTCACTGTTAATGCCTTAAGTTCCCAGCAATTTTTGATATTAATGTAATTAAACATAAAAATTACTTAAAACTGAAAAAAAACGAAAGAAATGCCTTAATTTTGAAGAAAAGCTTCAAACTTTATTTTCCTTTGTCTCCCCTTTCTGCGAAATTTGACACCAATGAGTCATTGTTTACACAGCTGGATGACCTTGAACACAGCTGGGGTCAGATTTCCTGGGACATTCTCATAGAAGTCTCGGGAGGACAAGGGTTTAAAGTAGGGTGAGTTCTATCTGGCCGTATATTTTTAAAAAATTCAAATTTTAATTGTGATTTCCGACCCCCCGACTTAATTAAATGTGTATATAATAAAATCTATTAATTAAAAAAATTAAAAAACTATTGGAGGTCGTTTTTGACATCAGAAAGCAGCTTTAAATAACTTTACCGAAGGAAAATCCGTGCACTACAACTTAGGAACCATGAAATAAATTTGATAAAAAACTCCCATTAAAAAANTTGCCATTTTATTTTAATAAATTGTTATTTATCATTGTTAATTATGGTAAACTCCTTTACTTGATTCGTCATTCACCTCATCGTCGACCCCTAGCAAATTCTCTCCATCCACTTGTCTGACATTTAAGAGTTAGTTAGCCATCTTGACAAGTGAACGGGAGACTTACGCCCCCCGGTTCACACTTATATATAATAAAATATATTAATTAAAAAAATTAAAAAACTATTGGAGGTTGTTCTTAATATCAGAAAGTAGCTTTAAATAAATTTACCGAAGAAAAATCCGTGCACTACAACTTAGGAACCATGAAATAAATTTGATAAAAAAACTCCCATTAAAAAACAATTAAGCCTTAATCGAGCCTTATCAAAGGCTCATTAAAATCGCGATAAAATTTTTTTGCACGGGTAAAAATTTTTGAAAAAATTTGGAGACTTAAAAAACATTCCAAAAATTCAAAAAAATGAAAAAATTTTTTGGGGGCCAAAAGGACCGAGTTTTATGTAAGGCTATGTAACATGCCCGAGTTAACTTGGGCGAAGAACTAAATAGGTTAATTAAACACTAACAGAAGAATATGTCGGAAGTATTCGTTTTTCCTCTTGACACTCCATCTTCTTTAGCTCACAAATCTGCAAAATACAAGGCACAGTCACAAGCACAACATTGTCATTCCACATGACAAATGATAAACGAACTCTCAACACTACAGTGTTGCCATGCCAAAAACAAACACTATGAACTTATGCATTGAACAAATATTTGTGTTATGATACTCCTTCTATCACTTTTTTCTAATGACTTGCAATCTAATGACTAAATCTGCTATAAATTGCAAGTCATTAGATTCTTCATTTGAATGATTTATTTGAGCCAAAAAAATATCTGATAATCTCTCTTATATGCTATAAAATTATGGTTATTTTAATCTATAAATTTTAATCCGTTGAAAAAAAAAGATATATTTGTAATATAAAAGAAATTTCAATGAATGATTTATAATATGCATTCATCAGGGGGTATATACCCTGATGGACACATTGAAATAATATAATATAACGTACCTTGAACTTGTTACCGGTGTGAGTGACACAAAGGATTAAGTACATCACTAACGTTTTCGAACAGTTTAAAGTTCTTCCTCAGGTGATACACAGAGAATGTTTGTGATGTATTTTATCCTTTGTCACTAAATTGGCAATTAGTCCATATGGAGAAATGAACATTTTTGTAGAATATAATGATAGCAATATAAGTATTGGATTGATGCAGAAGTTTGTAACATTTTTTGCTGCAGCAAAAGTTTTTATTTGATACTCATTTGAGATGAACTGAAGACTGAAACTAATCAGTAATATATTCTCCTACATTATCTGTGACTGTCTGCCAATACTGGGGGCAGTTCTTTGATTCAATGCATGAAAAAATCTGCTGGTTTGGAGTTAAAGACATCATCAAGTTTGAAAAGCATTTTCTTTATTAAAGATGTTTCTTTGAAGATTGTTGGATAGAGTGCAAAAAGAGGTGGAAATCTGAGGGTGCAAGACGAGGAGAATAACGGGATGTGGAATAACCACCCAACCAAACTTCTGGATAGCTGCTTTAGCCATGTTAGTGGAGTCTGGGTGTGTATTATCTTTATGCAGTCTTCCTGGTCATTTTTCTTGAATTTCAGCCACAAAACATCCAAGTTGTTGGCAATAAATGTAAGCAGTGATGGTCACATTCCTGGGAAGCAGTTCATAGTACATGTCCCACCAGCCTTCTGTGTCCCACCAGATACAACACTATCTTCTAAAGATGAGCACTAGCATTTGTATTGGAAGTTGCTTTTTGTTAGGGCTTAACCATTCCTTTCTTCTTATTGATGTTAGGCATAAAAGCACCGTTTCCCAATTCTGGACCAGGAATGATTGATGTTGTTCACAAGCTAACTGATGATAAGCAAGCAAAGAATGATGGCCACTTGCTGATATCTGTTGTTTTCACTTAAAGTGTGTGGTATCCATACACCCAAGTTTTGAACTTTGCCCATGGAATGCGAATGTTGCCTGATGGTTGACTGGTTTCAGTTGATCTCATTTGCCAATTTTCATGTTGACTGACATGGATCATTGTTGATTAAAACATTGAAATGATCTTCATCAAAGTCTGATGGTCTTCCTGAATGTGGAGAATCAATCATGTGAAAGTGCCCCCTCTTTGAAACAATAAATCCATTTTCTTGCTGTACTTTTCCCAATGGCATTCTTCCCTTGGTTTCCCTTTGTACCAAGTTTTTCAAACAACCTCTGCTGTTTTTACTTCACTGTTAATGCCTTAAGTTCCCAGCAATTTTTGATATTAATGTAATTAAACATAAAAATTACTTAAAACTGAAAAAAAACGAAAGAAATGCCTTAATTTTGAAGAAAAGCTTCAAACTTTATTTTCCTTTGTCTCCCCTTTCTGCGAAATTTGACACCAATGAGTCATTGTTTACACAGCTGGATGACCTT